GACATCGTTCTTAGTTCTCTCTATCCTCCTCCGTCAATGAGGACGTTCTCTATCATGCTCGTCCATCTCCTGTCACCTTTGGTAGAGATAGCTTGAAGTATGTTTGTTCACGGGCCTCGTATTCATATATCATAAGCGTATGTATGTGGGGGGACGTTTGGCACATAGTACTCCCAGGTAGGGATATTATATTATACCCGGCCGAGTTCTCACGTTCCTTATACTATATATATATATATATGTGTGTGTGTGTGTGGATAGTTCACACATTGCTTATAATATAATAAGTATGGATAGTTCACGCTTTGCTTATACTATAAAATGTGTGTGTGTGGATAGTTCACACATTGCTTATAATATAACAAGTATGGATAGTTCACGCTTTTATACTATAATGTATTGAAAGACGAAGCGGTCGTCTCATTTTGCGTCCTGTTTGTGGTTGTGGTTCGCTGTTACTGTTAGTACCGTGATGAGAACGTGATGTGTAGAGCCTGTAAAAAAATAAGGACGTTAGATTGTCGATAGAGCGAAGCAGATAGGTGTGTTCTTTGAGCTTATTATTGTACCTTCCTTTTAGCACCTTCTTGATAACGATACATCCGTGCCGGTTATTGGACTGATTCTCTCTACTTTTCTGTCCTATACTATTTTATTAAGAAATATAATACTTTTAAAAAAAAGTTTACCATAGGGTTTTACGGCGCTCGCAACTGCATAAGGTCATATGAGCGCGCATACAATACTTTAAAAAAAAAACACGTTTTAAATACATAGCAGTGGCGCCACACGATTTGAATATACAACAGAAAAAAGGCCAGAGTAATACGGGTTGCCCACTTCGGATGGGATCGGCCGATCGGGCCAGTCGCCCGACTCAGTCGCCTCAGAAACTAACGTGTTTGTTTTCAGTGTCAGGCGACCGAGTCGGGCGATCGGCCCGATCCAGCCATAGTGCGCACCCCGTGTAAGACACTGGCGAGTTGGATTGTGGGCAGTGGTAAATTCGCCTGATAAAAAGACGTGGTTTTTAGAAACTCTTTGACTGAAAGACGTGGATATAGAAACTTTTTTTACCCCTAACATAGCAGTGGTCTAATTGCATTAGAAACGCCTTCGGTTGTGATGAAAGGGTTAAAAAAAAAAATAGATATGCGTCGGAAATTACCTTCTGACTAATACTAATAGCGCCAAGATCCGTTTTCTTGTATTATCGTTTAAGCTTTATGGCAGTGCACAAACACGCTGCTTTCGCATAGCCCCCTGTCTACGTCTTTCACGAGGTCCTTTGGTTTATAAAAACTTCATCTTTTCGTTGCAGGTGGTTGGATTGCGCATCTGGTAGCCTAGGTCCTACTTCTTTCCTTTCCCTCTGTTGTTTCTGTCTGTCTGCCTGGCTGGCTTACCTCTTCCCTGCACTATAATATTATAATAAAACTACCGTTATTGTGTCGATATGCTTCTCTTAACTGACACTCAAACTTCTTTTCGCCGGTGTCAAAATCTAGGTCGATAGTGTGAAACTGTGACAAGTTTTCTGTGAGCGGAAGAGATTATTAAAAAAGAACCCTAGAAATTACAGTTGAAAAAACATTACAGAAAAAAACCCCAAAACAAACCTGTGAAAAAAAAACTCCTAAAGAAACCGCGAACTACTCTAAGTTTTAAAGAAGAAAAGGGAGAAGAAGAAGAAGCAGCAGCCGAATTTTCTGATTGACTGTGAGCTGGGATGACAATTGTATGTGCGTGTATACAGTGAGTAGTTTGTGACTTACCGGCGCGCGCCTGTTCGACGTGCGTACACAAGGCGCGCCATATTTGTGGAAGTTTGCCCGTAACTATGAACGGCGTCTGTAGCAACGGATCTGGTGGGATGTACCTCAGGTGAGTCCACCGTTTTTAAAAATCATTTTTACATAGTTTGTTTAATCAATCTGTCTATCTATCTATCTATCTATCTATCTATCTATCTATCTATCTATCTATCTATCTATCTATCTGTTTATCTATTGTTTGTGTGTCTCTGTCTGTCTATCTATCAATTGATCGATCGATATATCTGTTTACCTGTCTCTCTGTCAGTCTCTTTGACTGTCAGCCTGTCTGCTTGTCTCTCCATCTGTCTGTCTCTCTCTGTTTGCAAGTCTATCTCAGTCTGTCTATCTGTCGTCTGTCTGTCCACTTCTCAAACTACACACTGCCTACTTGCCGATTTATCTACCTATTGATCGATCGATTAATGTTTCTGTCATAAGCAGGGTTTCATAAAAGTTATCGATCATATCGTTTCTTTTCCATCATTAGTTCAAAAGCATCTTTCAACAAAACGTGGACGCTTTCACTTTCTATGTACTGTGTTGGGGGTTGGGGTTTTTTTGTGTGTGTGTGTGTGTGGGGGGGGGTTACAAGGTATTTGATTGTGTTTTAGTGGGTGGTTGGCGGGTGTTCTGGTGTGGTTTGCTTCTTCTTTCCTGTCAAACATCTATTGTCCTTACCTGCCTTCCTTCTTTTTTTATGTTTGTTACTCTCTTGTAACACCTCTAATCTTCTGGCGCTCATATAACCTTATGCAGTTGCGACACCGTAAAACCTCTACTAAAACAAATGAAAAGTTTTGAGCAAAATCTTGACGAAAAGAGGTCTGAGAGTGAGAGGGAAAATGTTAACCTTGTTACAAAGTAATTTATACTCTGGAGTTATGACATAATACTCGTACGTTTACAGAAAGTGATGGTAGTGGTTTGAGTGCAGGCCCACTAGCAGGTCCTACTTTTTTTCTTTTTTTAAAAATATTATT